CTGTCCTTTTGTTCTTCAGTTTAGTTGTGGAGGACGTTGCTTCACTGGCCCAAGTTGGCACCATCATTGCGCTCTTCCCGGGCGAGGCAGATCAGTCGCCGGCTTCTGGATGGCCGCTCACGGTGGCTGCTGGCCACTCACGCTGGCTGCTGGCTATACACAGTAGTCCATGGCAACCCACTGCAGCAGGGGCTGCAGCCTACGCCGTCGCATGCGACTCACGGCAGCCCAGCTCCAGGTTGAGCTGTTGTTCAGCATCTTAGCTGTAGAGGGTAGTGCCACTGGCCCTCATATGTGGGATCCGAACCAGGGCCCTCTGGCATCCCAAGCCAGCTCTTAACCAACGTGCCACTCGGCTGGACCCTTTTTAATATTTTTTACTGGGGAACAGCCAGTCATTGGTTACATATTGCTTTCATGCTACAATGGCATAGTTCACTGTTTTAAGGAGGGCGCAGCTCACAGTGGCCCATGTGGGGATCAAACCGGCAACCTTGGTGTTATCAGCACCACGCTCTAACCAACTGAGCTAACCGGTCACCCCTTGTCAGCTTTTTGAAATTTGAAATTTATAATTTGTTGTAATTTTTCACATTCTAATATTTATTTCTTACCTAATTCTGTATTCTTTTTCTTAAAGAGAACCCACCAAACTGTATAAGCTTCAGGCCTCACAAAAGCTGATCCACCCTGGCTGAGGCCCAGCTGGAGATGGACATCGAGGAGCTGGTAAACCTGTCTCATGGAGTTTTTAGATAGAAATACTGTGCTTTGTGTGACACAACCTCCTCTTCCCCAACTCCTGTGTGAAATCTTTAGTAAAATAGGCATTTTCACTATAAAATTTAACAGAGACCAGAATGGAAGAGACTTGGATTAAGGGCAGCAATGTGAGAGCAACTGTGTGAGAGTGAAGGCGGTGGGGGTTGTGTATGTGTGGCCACACGTTCCATAATAGCCCATTGTGTGACAGAGGCAGGGAGGTGACAGTCGCCTGCTCTTTGCTGTCCTCAGATTGCACCTGGACAGATTCTGCTCCAGATACGGAGGCAGGTTGTCAAAGGGACGTTGACACGCTAGGGCAAGCCCACAGGCGCTCACTCAGGATGAATGGTAAAGAGTCTGCAGTCAGATCTTGGAGAAATCTCTAAAGAAACTAGAGATGTTATGTTGTTTAGAGTCCAACATGGAGTAGCAGGCACTGTTGATAGAAGAGAGAGCCTTGTGGGTAGCTAGGAGGGCAGTCCTAGGATGAGTGGAAGCGGTAAGAGGCAGACTGGCTTTTCAATAAATGTAAAGGGGGGTTATATTAAACACCCACATCAAGCAATATATAATTCACATTGGAAATATGTTCATCAAATGTTAATATTGCAGTGGCAGAATTTTAGATGACTTTTAGTTCTTCTCTGTACCTGTTTGTATAAGTGTGTGTCATTTCTAGAAAACAATAATGACATTAGTCTTTAAACAAAAAAGTCTCTATTCAATAGATCTGATCTCCAAAGCCCCAATTCAGCTACTGAAATACCTCTCCCCTTGCTGCTTCTCTCAACTATCACACAAGTGGATTTACTGCACCCTGAGCATCCCAATTTCTATAAAAGCTCAGTTCCAAGCTCAGCAAAACAAAGATGCACCTTCCTTAGGTGGCAGGTAAAGGGGCAAGCCCCGTTGTTAACAAACAAATTGATTCCCTCAAAAGGAATTCTACTGATGGAAATATCTCCATCTTCTTATGTCAGGAAGAACATTCCAATGACAACCAATGAAAAATAGAATGGTCTGAGTTCTAAGTCCCCGAAAATTTTCCACTAGAGAATGGAATACACAGATATTTTAGAAAGGTTTTGACCCTGGATTGGCAGCTGGACGCACAACTTCTACTTTTTGTTCTAAGGTTTTTAGTTCTCAAGAGTAGTACCTTTCATCAAGGGGTGTGGAGCGTGTGCTGTATGTCACTTCCAGCTCTTCTCTGAACAGCAGGAATGCCTTATATGTAGCATTATGGTTTGCATAATGTGGGCTCTTGATAACACTAGCAAACACTTATCTAGTTCTTAATGCCTGCCAGTCAGCGTTCTAAGCATGCCCTGGGAAGAAGGAACTTATGTAATCCTCAAAGCGACTCGATGAGGTAGGTCTTTGGATCATTCCCGTGTTACAGAGCAGAAAACTGAGGCCTAGAGAAGTTGAGGGATTTGCCCAAGATTACACAGATTATGAGGGGCACAGCTGCGATTTACATCCAGGCCGGCTGTCTCCAGAGTTAGCCTCTAAACCAACATCACGCCGCCTCTCACTTGAGAGAGGTTTGAAACCACCCCAGTTCTGAACACTGAGATCTCTGTGGTATCCTGGCCAGGCTCTGGCCTGCTGGGACTTCGGTGGGCTGAGGCAAGACAGGCTGACCTTGATCATGGGACATATCAGCAGCCAAAGTATGCCATGTGTAGGCCATATCTGAAAGCCCAAGGCGGGGAGTAACAGTGGGATAGTTGCATCAAGTTCAGAAGGGCTCTCGCAGGGATTATCAGATGTACTTGGTTGTGGAATCTTCGCTATGGAAATGTTCTTAAAGGGCACATAGCCCAGCCACTCACTCGCGGTGGTGCGGAGTGTGATAGGGACCTGGGTGGGTGGGGGTGTTCCCTATTTGGACCCCCTCACTAAAGCTGGGGTTAGTGGGACAGCCAAGTGGGTTCCTGCCCCCACCACCCCCTCTTCCTGTGGCCTCCCCCTTTCCCAGCATCCTTGCCTCTGCTTTGTTTTGTGTACCACCAAATTCATCAGCATCCTACCCCTTCATCTTGGCGGTAAACACCTTCTCTGTAAACCCTACTTGCCTTCCCACTCAATGAGATTAAATCTCCCTGGACAGCATTAGGTATTGTTTTTATGGTTAATTTATTTATTTTGATATTTTTACAGCTCCTGAAATTTAATTAAAAAATGACTTTCGGGCTGCAAAACTGGCCTCCGCTGCTAATTCGATTCCACGGATCTGTCCTGAAAGGTATAAATCATTTTTAAAAATTATTACTAAAAGTACTGCTATGCTAAATAAATTACCCAAGCTCTTGACGTAGAAAAAAAGAGGGGGTGGAGGAGAGGATATTTGGCTTCTTCCATCAGCTTTTTCCAGGCCCTGGTTTTGTGCGGGGCTGGTTGGGCTGGGGTTCCCTCTGCACACGGTCAACAGTGGGCCCTCCTACCCCCAGCTGGACCTCATCTGGGCCCTCCTACCCCCAGCTGCCGCCGGCCCCCACCTCCCAGGGTGTCACGTGGGCTGATGAGATAATGTATGTGAAAGCCTTTGTCAACTTCAAGGCACAGTCGAATGCCAACAATTACTGTTATTATTCTTATCATACTCCAGGGAAACCCCCGTTGTCCCCCACACACACACACCCCTCCCAGACCTACGCAGCAGGACAGCCGGGGAAACTGCGAGGCCAGACTACCCCTCCCACGTGGGCGGCGGTTCCTGGCGTAAATCCGTCTCCCCGACTTGGAGGACAGGCGCTATGGCTACCCCGGACCCTGCCACCACTCAGTAATGGCTTTCCCAGTTCTTCCTGGTTCAGGGGCCTTCCTCCACAAGGAAACCTCCTCAGTTCCAGGGAAAGTTCTCGAGCTGCTGAAATCATCCACTCCGAGGGACCTGTCCTCAAGCCCCCCGCCCAGCAAGGTCTCCCCTCCGAGTCTCCGCAGTGGAGCCAGGCTGCCCCGGAAGGATCTGACCCACAATTTCCTGCAATTGTCTCCTTGAAGCTCCCCGCCCACCTTCCTCAACTCGTCCCGCCCCTCCCCAAAGCCCCAGTCTCTAGATAGGCCGGCCCCCAGCGCCATCTAACTCCTTAGGCCCCTCAGTTCTCTTTAGCACCCCCCCTCTCTCCTGGGGGCTCTCTACGAGCCTTGGGAGAAGGAACTGGGGCATGGCAATCAATATGGCCACCAGGGGCCCCAGGTAGTTGAGTGTGCTGTGGTTACCAGGGCAACCATTCCTGCCTTGGGCCTACCCAGTGCTATTCATCCGCAGCAGCTGAGGGTGAGGACTTGACCAGGCAAGCTCCCTCTCTCAATAAATCAAATCTGACGGAGGCCAAAATGGGTGGACAGGGAGCACAGAACACCAAGAAAGGTCATTGGACACCAGAGATCAATTTATCCTTCCTTCACCCCTGACCACCTCTTGTGGACCAGGAAGCATAGCCCAGAAGGTAGACCTCCCGGCTGCCCACTGGGTCCTACTGGGTGTGGACTCCAGGAAGAGGCCTGGGGAGGTGGGAGGTGGGGCCTGTCCGCACTTGATGGATGGTACTGAAGCAATGTCTGGCACTTTCTTTCCCCATGGGGGAGGTGAAGTTGCAGCCACCTCTCCCCCTCTGCATTCCTGCCTGCCTGCTCAGGAAGGGGGTGGGGTGGGCCGCTGGAGCTGGGACAGGAGGGCCCTTTGCCCCGCTGGCTGAGAGTCATTTTGCAAAGATCACTCACATCTGTCTCCACTGGCATGGGAATGGAGGGGCGTGTGGACAATCCCCAAATCTCAACTGAGGTGAAGGGGGACCCATATGTCCCCACCCTCGTTTCTTCTTCTTGGCTCCCAGACCTCCTAGGATGAAAGGTGCCAGAACTCTCCATTCGGTCCACACCCCCTTCCTGCTGTATGCCAGGCATTGGGTAATACAGCCTTCCTCCAAGCGTGGTCCACAGACCCTGGGAGTCCCTAAGACCCTCTCAGGTTGGGTGAGGCCAAAACGATTTTCATCCTCCCACTAATATATGATGTGCCTTGTCAATCGTGTTGATATTCGCATTGAGGGTACGAAAGCAAGGGGGGGGGGGTAAAACTGCTGGTGTCTTAACCTAAATCAAGGCAGTAGCACCTGACTAGTCCCTGCAATCTTCATCACCACATATTGGCAGTCAAAAAAATAAATAAAAAATAAAAAAAGCCAGCTTCTCTGAAGAATGTCCTTTGATAAAGCAGCAAAAGGTTACTAACATGTGCTAGGTTTATTATAGTTACTTTAAATGAGTGAATAGGGCTTGTTTGAATTTGTAATGTGGTATATATATCGATAGATATAACCCACATGAACCAGAGCTCTTTGGGGCCCTCTGTAACTCTTAAGGGTGTAAATGGGTCCTTAGCCCAAAAGTGCCGGCCCTGCTGGGGTGATTCCTAGGCTGTGACACTGGGTCCTCCGTGTTGAAAGAGAATTGCAGCCTTTTCAGGGACCGCTTTCCCGGCTTGAGAAACCGTCTTATCTGACATAAAGGATGGAGAACATGGCTGTGTCTCCCAGCAACCCTCTCCCCCTCAAGAAGAGACTCGCACTGGAATCAAGATTTTAATGGTCTCTGCTCACGGGAGAAGCAAGGCATATACAGGCCTGCTGACGGGAGAAGCAAGGCATATACAGGCCTGCAGTGCCACCCCTCTCCCCGTGCACTGTATCCAGTGTTGAGTGGTGGGAGACAGGGGGGGTGTTTGTGCCCATGTGAGCCAGACCAGGTGTGGACTCCCCCACGCCCTAGGTTCACCTCTACTCCCTTTTCCTATCCCCCTAAGGTGGCTTGTCCCCCTCCCCATAAAAGTCACAGTGTAGCAAGGCTGAGGCAGGAGGGCCCAGGCCTCCACACCGCAGCCTGGCCTGAGTCAGGGTGGACAGCGGGTTCGTGCGCCTACGCCTGTGCCCCTGGACGTGACCGTGTGCTTTGGTCGGGTCCTGGGTGCCTCATCTCCCCCACACCAGTCCTCTTTCAGAGGTAATAGGTGGTGCGCCCACTGAGGTCAGCACACCTGACCTATTCAAACCACTTCCCCGACGATCCTTTGGCAATGGAGGCGGGGATGGGGACTGCTGTGGGTGAGGCGGAGGCCTGACACCTCTCTGTCACCTCAGGCAAACTGGAGGGAGGTGTGGAAGGCCAGGAGGGGAGGTGCTCAGCCTCGGGTACTGCTGCCCCGCTCCCCCAGGAGCCAGTAGGTGCGAACTCTGCCTTTGCCCTGGAAGGAAAAGAGGAGGAAGTTGGGGTAGGGCGTGGAAAGCCCACTTTCCCAAATGATGGGAGTGGGGCTGGCTGCTTGAAAGGGTCCCGGGGGAAGGTAACCCCCTCTGGGGCCCCAAGGGGCGGTGAGGGCAGGGATTCCTTCTCTACCTTCATTTCTACATCCCCTCGAAGCTCCAGCTCGAATCCACCAAACTCTTCCAGAACAGCCCTGGTCTCAGAAGACAAGTGGATCTTCAGGGCTGAGTAGGATAAGGAAGAAGGAGACAAGGTGAGGGATGCAAGACAAGGGAGCAGGGGAAATCAGGGGCTGTGGGGGCAGAAAGGCGCTCGCCCTCCTTCCTTCTGGCCCAGGAAGCCTCCTAATTCAGAGTCCCACCCCCTCCACGTCGACCATACCAACCCCTCCCTTAGAACTCGAGAGCTGTGCCCTCCATCCTGGTAGCCAAGAGTCATGCAGAGCTACTTCAACTTAAATTAATTAAAACTAAGTACAGTTAAAAATCCAGTGCCTCAGTGGCACAACCACATTTCAAGCGATCGATAGCCCCCTGTGACAGAGGCTACCACACTGGACAGCACAGATGACTGGGTATTCCCGTCACTGCGGGAAGTTCTGTTGGACAGCACTTGAGAGTGTGTCACCAGGCTCTAGACAGAGTGTGGCACGATGGTCAGGGGCTCAGGCTGGGTCCTGCTCTGCCTAGTACGAGCCCCAGCTTGGACGCTGGCCTGGGGAAGTAACTACACTCTCTGTGCCTCGCTTCCTGGATTGAATTGTGTTGAATGCAGCAGGAGGGCAGAGCAACAGGAAACAAGGCCAAGGGGAGAGGTGGAAACAAGCATTTATTAGGTGCCTACTGTGTGCCAGGGGCTGTGCTAGGTGTTTTTTTTTTTTTTACAACCTGAGACAGGCACCACTTTGTGGATAAACAGCTGAGGCTCAGGAAAGTTGAAAGACAATTATGTGCTCGTCACGTTACTTGGCTTCCTCACAGTAGTGAGGTCGATATTTTGTTCTCCTTTTACAGGTGAGGCTCAGGGAGGTGGAGCAAATTGACACCCAGCTGGGTCAGTTGTAGAGCTGAGTCACGCCCAAGTGGGCTGCCCTGAGCCCTCTTTCCACAGCCAAGAGGAGCAGAGGGGCCCGAAAGGTGGAATTCCTCCGGGGAACTGGTGAACATTGGCCTGGGAAGGCTTTCCAAACATTTGTCAAGAGAAGGCCGCTAGGATCTGAGTCAAAGATTAGATTCAAGGTGATCTGCCAAGGTTAAGTCCTTAGGAGCAGGGGTCGGGAAGGGAGAGGGCTAGGAGCTGGGACAGGGGCTGGACAGACAGACACAAGGGGCCTTGGGCGCTTTGGGCTCCAGCTACTGTGCCCTGAGGCATCCCGTCTAGGGGGCGACCACCATACCTTCCCCATTGGACTCCATTCTTGAGGCGGTGTTGACTGTGTCCCCAAAGAGACAGTAACGGGGCATCTTCAGCCCTACCACGCCGGCACACACGGGTCCTGGAGGGGCGGAAGCCCATCAGCGAGGGGGTGGGAGGGTGTTAAGGGAGGCAGGTGGGAGGGTGTTAGGGGAGACAGGTGGGCGGATGGAGGGCGGCCGCAGGGCGGGGCTAGGGCGTTCCTGGAGAGGTGGGACCTGAGGCCGGTGGGAGGGAACAAGCCAGCCCTCCTGGGCTCCAGCCTTCCGAAGCCCCCTCCCCGCGCCGGCGGCGCCGCACCTGTGTGGATGCCAATGCGCAGGCGCAGCTGCTCCTGTGGCCGGTGGCGGATGTGGAAGGAGCGCACGGCGTCCAGCAGCGCCAGGGCCATGCGGGCCACCTCGCGGGCGTGCAGCCGCCCGTTCCGCACCGGGAGCCCCGACACCACCATGTAGGCGTCGCCGATCGTCTCCACCTGTGAGGGCGGCGAGAGGGTGCAGGACTGGAGGGCTGGAACTTGGTCTCTCCTGTGCCGCCCCCAACACCTCCTGCACTGTCATTCTGTGCCCCCACCAGCCTGCTGCTGTCTCATCTCCCATCTCCTGCGGGGTTTCTCTGCCTGCTCAGTCTCCCTTGACACTGTCTCTGTCCACGTCCCTTGGTCTCTTCTCTTAAAGCGTCTATGTCACTCTGCCCTGCATCTTCGTCTAACCCTGCCCAGGAGTCTGTCCGTCCCTTTTCATCCTTACTCCCACCCTCACCTTGTACACGTCGAAGTTGTCTATAACAGCATCAAAGCAAGTGTACAGATCATTGAGGAGGGTCACCACCTGAAAGGGAAGACAGCCAGGTCACCACCTGGGCGGGGAGTAAGGGACCCCACCTGGGCTTGGGTGGGAACAGCGGAACCAGACGACAGGCCTCTAGGGGTGGAGATGCTAAGCCAAGCGCACCTTCCTGGTCTTCACCTGCGGCTGCTCCCTGACTCACCTGCATGGGCGTGCTCTCCGCAGACAGGGCTGTGAACCCCACAATGTCACTGAAGTAGATAGTGACGCTGTCAAAGGCTTCGGCCTGGACTGTCTCCCCGCGCTTCAGCTGCTCAGCCACTGAACTGAGGGGTCAGAGGTCAGCAGGTGAGGTGGGGGCCACACAGGCGTGGCAAGCCGGCCAGGGGCAGGCAGGGGCAGACATGCGCGCGCACTCACTGAGGCAGAATCTGGTAGAGCAGGGCCTCCGCCTTGCGCTTCTCCTCCAGGTAGGCCTGCGTGCGCTCCTCCACCAGCTCCTCTAGGTTGTTGGCATACTGCTCCATGCGCGACAGCAGGTTGTCCAGGATGTTGCTGCTGTTCTCCCTGGAGGCCAGGGGCGGGGGTGGGGCGGATGGGACAGTGAGGAGAGCAGCACACCCCACCCTCCCCAGGCGGAAGGTCAGCACCCCTGCCTCGGTGGGGACCCTGGAGAAGGTCGGGGGTGGGAGGCACAGCAGGATGGGGTGGCAGGGGAAAGGGTAGGAGGAAAGTTGGCTTCACCTCTGAGACACCAGTGTCAAGCCAGAAGCTTTGGGCATACTGGCTATTTTGTTCAACTTGATTGAACACAGTGAGTTAGGAGGAGGCAGAGGAGGCCCCATTGGACAGGGATCAATTGGGGACAGTGGGAGGGAGGCTATCAGTGGTGTGTGTGGAGGCACTGGGCCTCAGGGGGACACATGGAGCGGGGGCTCAAAGTGGGGGAGCTCCTGTGGAAGGCAGGGAGGCCCCATTGACTCTGCACACCACTGAAACGTGGGGGGCTGAGCAGGCAGGGTGTGGGGTGGCGGTGTTGGTGGAGGAGAGGGTGTGAGATGTAGGGGCTGTGGGGACATCTGGCTTGTGTGGTATTCACAAAGGGGACTGAGACTGGTGGCTGCAGTAGGCTATGTAAGAGGGGCTTTGAGTGGTTCCCTCTCCCACTGCTGGGTGAAACTTAAGGGGGGCATGCGGTGATGGAGTTGGGGGGAGGCTTAGGGGGCTCCAGCAACCTGTTAAACTTGCGCAGCATCAGGCGGATCTGCTGGAAGGGCGGCCGCTCCTGCGGGTCCTCAGCCCAGCACCACTGCATCAGGTGGTCCAGCTCCTCCAGGTGACTCTGCAGGGCCACGGAGGGCCGGAAGGGGGGCTGCTCGCCCCGAGTCACACGCTCGATGATCTCTGTGTGGTGGGGAGAGGGGCTGAGGGGCACGGTCAGCCAAGGCCCTGAGAGCCAGTGTGAGGAGGCAGGACCAGGCATGGGGCAGGCAGGCCCTGCAGGGAACGGGGCCAGTCACGTGTCAGGGCCACTGGCAGCAATGGAGCGAAGGGTGGTGGCTGAGGTTCCCAGAAGGAAGCTATGGCGTTTCCAGGGGTCCCTCTCTCTGGGGCTGGGGTTAGTGGAGACGGTGGGGAGGCCAGGGGACAGCAGGGCCCTCTCACCTTTGGGGCTGAGGTCCAAACCTTCCACATGGAAGACGCCACACCTCAGAGCGATCTCCTGAAGGATGATCCCAAAGCTGTACACGTCACCAGCCTGGGAGCCCCGGGCAGGGGGCGAGGCCATTCGAAGGAGCTCTGGGGCTGTCCACAGCTTTTCTGCGGGTCAGAGGTCAGGAGTCACAGGGTGAAGGGCCCCAGAGCTAAAGGGAAACAAGGAGGTGGCTACAGATGTGACCGACCAGACCGACCGGGGCTGATGTGGAGACATCACACTGAGTGTTAGAGCTAGAAGAGGACTGGAGATGAATGAACAGAGTCAGGAGAGGCGTGCCCAAGCCCATCAGAGGCCAGGTATCAGTCTCCCTGCTGGGCTGGGCCGGGGGCAGGGCTGGGGACAGCGGCTCACTGGCATAGAGGGTATGTCCTTGCTCTGGCTCTGGGTTCCGGAAGCTCTCCAGCCCGTAATCGGTGATCTTGAGCACGAAGCGCCCATCTACCACGCAGTTGGATGACTTGAGGTTCCCATGGGAGCAAATGGCTCCATTATGTAGAAACAGCATACCCTGGGGAATGTGGGAGTCAGGGCGTTGGCTCTGGGAGGGGCCTACAATTCCGGCCGGAGAAGAAGCACGCCTCCCCCACATGCCGTGGCTCTCCTGGACATACCTTGACGATGTCATTGGTGAGGGAATACCGAAACATCCAGTCCAGGGTGATGCTCTCATTCTCCAGGATGTCCTGCTGGGCGCTGAGAGTCAGACATGTGCCCTGCAGTCCCCCGGAGGAGGAATGCAGGGGTCCTACTGCCTTCAGCTGGCAGAGCAGGACAAAGCTTTGGATTTACGCTAGAGCCACTGCGCTCCCTTTTGACAGACAGGCCAAGTAAAGGTCAGAAAGAGGGAGCGGCTTGCCTGGGTCAGATGGCCAGTCAGGGTCATGGTCAGGGCTAGACCCAGGTTTACTGACCCCCCACCTTGTCCCCTCACCTGCAGGCTCCCGCGGGGACAGTACTCTGTGAGGATACAGATGTTGGGGGGGTCGGTGCAGGCACCCACAAACCTGGTCAGGTGGTCATTCTGCACGTCCCGCATCTGCAGGTGGGAGCCAGCATCAGGAGCCTGTCAGGGACCTCACTATCCACCAAGTTGTCTCCCTTCCTCAAGGACCCCTCAGTCTCCTTAATTCCCCATTCGTTCTCCACAAACGTCCTAGGACCTTTCATGGTGATTCGCACCCATGTCCTTTAGCCCACCTTCCCCCACAATCCGCTCCCTGCTCTCTGCCTCCTCAGCCCTCCACCCGCAAGGGCATCGAGGATGGCCCCTGGAGGACCTTCCTGCAGGACATCTCCAGTCCTCCCTCACCTGTGCTCCCCCCACTCCCACCCACAATATGCAAGGGCCCCTCCCAGGGCTACAGACAACCCTGAAGTCCCCGCCATAACCAGTTCTGTGCGCCAAACCCCTGTGTTTCCCTGGGACCCCTCCCCAGGCCACTTCCTCACTCCCCCACATTACATGCTTCAGTTCAAACAGGACTTTTCTGGTCAGCTCAATGCGTTTACGGTTCACATGTTTCACCGCCACGAGGTTGCCCTGGGCAAGGAATGCAGACAGTCACTGTGAGGAGGTGGCCCAGTGCCCGGGGAACTCCAGCTGCTCTTGCCAGCCCACTGCCAACTCCCGGACCCTCCCCAGTCCTGTCAGAACACACCTGCCGCAGTCCCCAGGCCCACCTTATAATACGCTGTCTTGGCAAAGACCTGCAACTGGCCCTCTGTGGTGAGCAGGGAGCCGTAATTGGAGCCTCTCTGAAGGGGTGGAGAGCAGGAGGGATGGTCAGCCCCTTCAATCTTCCAGGTCAGCATACAGCATCAATATCTCCCTGGGCCCGGCTGTCCCTCCTGGTGGCTTGAGCGCTCATCTTCACTACCCTGCCTTATCTTTGTGTCACTTTGCTTTTCATTCCACACCATGAAATCCTCTCATTTACTTTTTTTTTTTTAATGTATTTTCACATACACTATCTTCAACCTTTGAAAGAGCCCCAAGGGAGGCTCTGTAGAGGGAATCATTATGGGAGGTAGTCTCAGAGAGGTCCCAGAAACCTGCTCCCTCTCTCTCCCCTACCCATCAGGTACTGCGCTTTCTCCCATACCCAGCTCTCCCCTATTTCCCCCCCCATACCAGTGTCCTTACCCCACTCAAGGTCAGTCGGCTGCCCATACTCCGAAGGTGTCTCTCCAGGCTACTGGGCTGCAGGTCCTCCCAGCGCACCCGCCACAGCTCTGAGGCCAGCTCCTTTTCTAGCCGCATCTTCCTGGGGCATGAAACCTGCGTCTGAGCTGGTCTGAGCCCCTGACCCAGGCCAGGGATGCTCTGCCCGCAGCCCCTTCTCGGAGCCCTGGAACCACTGCTTGTGCTGAGACAACCCCACTGCTATCATAAGAGGCAGATGGGGGACTGTCCCCTGGGCTGAGAGCCGGGAGGTTTGGGTGAAATCCTGCCTCACAGGGACCTTGGGGTAGTCACTTCACTTCTGAGTCTCATGTCTTCATGTCCAAATGTCCTCATTTGGAAACTGGGGACCTCGATATTTGTTTCAAAGCGTTGTTATAAAAATACACTTATAAGAAAAGAAATGCTGTGTGTGGAGGTGCCTGCACATAGTATATGCTTGACCAGCACTGGTTTTCTCCCCTCCCTCCTTCCTTCCCTCAGTTGGTAACTTCTGCACTTTTTTTTTTAGCTCTACTGGAAGGCAGGACGGGCTCCTTTATCTCTCTGGAGGGCTCACCATCCTTGCTCAGCTAACAGGGGCCCAACCCCAAAGGGTCTGAATGAACCATTGCTCCCCATCCAATCCACAGAAGCAGGAAGAGAGGACGAGTCAGCCCACTGCCACCATCCACAGCCCCATGATGCCTCTCCCGCAACCTCTCTGCTCCTTCTCTGGTCCCCATGCCCTCCCTGGCCACTTCTATCCCTGTTCCCTCCTCCTTTCCTACCCTGCTGTCTCCTCTCCCCTTCTCCCTTCCCTCTGGGTCTCTGCCACCTCCCCTGCTGTAGCTTCTCCAGGTCTCCCAGCCTCACTCACCACCCTCATCTGACAGCTCACCTGTAGATGAAGATGGAGACGATGAGGATACTGAGCAGGGACAGGCTGCCCACCAAAGCCAGCGCCTCGAGGACGGAAAAGTGGGCTGCGAGAGTTCAAAGTGCAGCAAGAGATATTTTGGTTAGACAGCAGGAGGAAGACACTTCTCACAGTCAACCAGCGAAGCAGGATGACGGACAAAGGGGAGACGAGCAGGAGGAGGGGGTCTCTCCAGAAAATTCTCAGTGTGGGAGCGGACCACCCATTTGTATCCCCCTGGGGGGAAGTAGCATCTCCAGGTTGGAGGCCCGGATGGCAAGGGGCAGGCACCTTGGTTGCAGGCTGGGTCCTCATTGTCAAAGCCGCATTTGGGGATGTCAGGAGGCGGGTACCCCAGGGGCCAGTTCAGCTTGCGCCCTGACACAGCCTCCAGCTCTTGGGAAGCCCCATCGTAGTTCAGGACCACCTGTGGGAGACGGCAGGAGTGGTGGGCGGGCAAGGCCTGTTGGGGGGGAGGCTCCCGTCCAATGGAGCAGTCCTGCCTCCTACCTACCCCACCTACCCCCTACTCTGCTTCCGGAGCCTGTATGTGGGCTGTCAACTATTTACCAAGCCCCTGCTGTGAGTGGATACAGAGAGACCCCATACCCATGCCCCATGTCATCGGAGTGGGAAAACTTGAAAACCCCTCAAGGGGGACAAAACAAAACAAAACACAAGAAAACTCCATCTAGAACCCAGCCCTGCACTCAGGGAATTTATAATCTTGGGCTGAAGCACATAGAAAAAGGCAATGTTCTCTGTCCACATTTCCAGGGCCTAATCCATGGACCCCTCCTCCAGGAAGCCTTCCCTGGATGATCTGCCCCTTGGCGCCTGTGCTCAGCTGCTTCCTGTTCCTGTCTGCACTTGGATGCACAATGTGCATGCATCTCGGCCCTCGGTGGCCTGTCCCTGCTGGGATGCGTCCTGCCCACCTTAGAAGACACCGGACTTCCTACGGCCAGGCCATGCTCTTTCCGCAGTCATGAGCTAAGGGGACTGCATGTTAGTCCCTATCGTTCTGGTTGCTCCCCTAGACAGGAGTTGGGTCTCTTTTATGCAGGGCTCTTCATCACGGTGGGGTGACTACAGAATAGATAGATGCCCTAGCAGGCTGTGGGGGAAGCACTGCCTTCTGGGGGCACAGCCTTACCCTGAAGCTGGCATTCTCAGGTTCCATATCCCAGAGGGAGAAGTCGGTCTCCCGATCTCCATTGCTGTCTATTGTCAGGTATCCTGTCACACCTGGGGGCACGGAAGAAGGTGGCTGTGTTTTGAGGGAGTGGAAGGAAGTTCAAGGACACCCCCCATGTCATCTCCATCCCTTGATCATCGCTGCCTTGCCTTCCAAACATATACATATATGGAATGATAATAAAAGGGACAGATATTTCAGCAGCAGGAAAGATTGGGGTTGGACACTTAGAAGGACTTCTTGACCGAGCTAGGGAGAAGGGAGAGGCCGGAGGGCCCAGAGGAAGTTGTGGAGGTTCCCTGTAGAAGACAGGAAAAGACTGGCGTGGGTGAGTCCTGTGTGGCAGGCAGGACGAGAGGCTCCTCGTGGCCTCCTGCTTGGGGCAGCCCAAGGCAGCCCGTTCTTGTCACCTCCAGGCCCTGACCTTGGAAGCTCCGGTTCCACATCCGCTGTGTGATGCCCTCCCCATCGGTGACCGTTCCCCCATGTTCCAGAGTCTCCGTCACTGCCTGGATATAGAGCAGGAGCCCGTCGTGGAAGGATGCTGGGATGATGTTCACCTGCAGGGGCGAATAGAGCCTGGCTGGGGGTGGGGGGGCGGTGAGCACAGGAAGGGCACCGAGTGGGCACTGTGGGGGAGGGAATGGAGGCGCTGGGAGCTGGGAGGAAGATGGGAGAAACCGTGTAACGGAATTTGCTACTTATGAGACACTTCCACCGTTTCTGAATCGCGCAAGGTAGGCAGGACATAGCACCCCCATTTTACTTATGAGGATGAGATTCAGAGGTTGAACAACTTGTTAACTCCCCCCCCCCATCATCAGGAGAGATACGGGAACAATGGGAAGGGAAACCTGGGAATACTGGGATGGCAGAGGGCCACGGAGAAGGGGCTGGAGGTCCACTGGAGGGTCCCAGGACCCTCTCCTACCAGGCCATCCTCCATGGTGAAGTTAAACTGCTCACGAGCCACATGTTTCAGCTGCTGCAGGAACTGTAAGTACTCAGGGTTGTCCGGCTCTTTATAGGTAATGATTTTGGCAGCCTGAGGAAGGGGCCAGTGGGGACTGGTGAGCTGGGGGCTCACCTGTCCTCCCGGGACCCTGGGACCCACCTCCCAGAGCTGCATCTCGATGGCTTAGCTCACGCTCACCCTGGACCCTATGCCTTAGGTGAGGGGCTGCCTGCTCCAAAGCAGGAGATCCAATGGGACAGCTTCTTCAAGTCCTGTCAGTCTGAGGGACTTGAACATCCTTCCACCTCAAGCCCATTCCGGATTCTTTTTCCGCCTCCTGGCTCTGAGTCCCCTGCCCTTCATACCCCCTGGCCCCAGCCCCCTGCCCTTCGTCACCCAACTACCTATGCGCACCAAGAGTCTCTTTTCTGGGATCCTTTCAGACAGTGAGGCACCCACCGTCCAGACACCACGTGCCACCAGGTCAGAGTCCCACAGCCCGGGCCACCCACCTGGACACTCACCTGGAAGGCCTGGCGGGCTCTGACATCCTGCCCGTCCCCTCTCTCCCAAGGCCTGTGGGACGCAAGGCCGTGTGCACCCTGCAGGCTTTGCCCAAAGAGGTCCAGGTGGAAAAAAACATAGTCCCCTCCACTCAGGCCGGCTTCCGCGGCCATGAACATCAGGGTTCGGAAGGCATCTGGGGAGCTGCAGATGTAGATAACTGGGGAGGAAGAAGACGGTCAGGCAGAGCCGCCTGGGTCCTGGGGGCAGGGGGAGCTCTGGGTAGAGGAGGTGAGGCTTCCGGGGGGACGTTCTGAGACCCTGGGGGCGAGTCAGTGGAACTCCTGCCTCGGTCCAGGCTGTGGCAGGAGAAAGGTGGCGATGGGTGGGGGGAGGCGGGGGGAGGGGAGAAGGAGCAGAGATCAGGACGGTGGCAGCAGCAGGGCGGAAGGTGGGGATGGTGGGGTCGGGACGGTGGAGGAGGGAGAGGAGGGCCAGCTGGAGAGCAGAGGGCGTGTGGGAGTCAGCGGAGGAGGAGGTGGAGGAGGGGAGAAGGCTGAGGGGAAGAGGCAGAAAACGGGCGAGAAAAAAGGGATGGGCACGCAGCCGGGACCTACTAAGCGCCAGGGTGGCAGCGGGCATGGCCCCACTCCTGCTAACCCCGGGAGAACCTGTGGGCAGGAGGTGGGGCCGTAGGGGAGGTGAGGAGAGAGGGGAGCGTAGGGACGTCTGGAGAGGCGGGTGGAGAAGGAGAGGGAAATAGAAACTCAGAGGTGGAAAGGGCCGAGGAGGCCGAGGCGGGACTGAGGAGCCGCGGGGACGCGGAGGGGGAGAGGGGGAGGACAGGCCGGGGGGAGAGAAGGGCCACTCGGCGGCTCGGAGGGCTGCGGGCGCTGCGGCCCAGCGGCGGGCCCGGGGGCGCGGTCACCTCGGCCCTTGCGCTGCACCGTCTGCAGCAGCCTGGCGTAGTGGTCGCGGTCGCCCTCGGCGAACTCCATGTGCTCCACCGTGATGTTGAGGAGGCCGCGGACCCGCAAGAACAGCCCCTCCACGACGAAGAAGCAGGGCTGGTCGTCGTGCGGCCGGTAGCCGTAGAGCACGAGCGCCCGCTGCTCCCAGCCCAGCCGTCGGTGCAGCGTCGCCACGAAGTCGCCCAGCTTGGCGTGGGTGGGCCCGGCGCGGGTGGTCAGCTGGTACTCGTCCTTGGAATCGAAGCCCTGGGCCGGGGCGCCGGCCGTCAGCAGCGGCACCCGCCAGTGCGCGGTGAAGCGCCCCACCGGGGCGGCGGCGTACACGCAGCCGGGGCCCAGGAACACCGCCGGCTCGTGCTCGAACTTGAGGTCCACGGCGGCCAGCGGCGCGGCGGTGTCGGAGCAGACGCCCCGCGCGTCCTCGCTGCTGCCCAGCACCGTGCGGACCGTCCAGCCGGGCAGCAGGTCGGGCCGCGCCTTCACCCCGGCCAGGGCCAGTTCCACGGCCGGGCCCACGCGCGCCCACGACCACGGGTACGAGGTGTTGGCCAGCGGCAGCACCACGGCCACCGTCAGGACGGCCGCGTGGCTGCCCGGGAGCAGCAGCAGCAGCGGCGCCAGAAGCAGCGGCAGGCGCAGGCGGGCGCCGGTGGGGCCCCCGGGGTGCGGCATGGCCTCAGCGGGCACCGCGGCAGGCGGGCGCTCCCACCATGGCCTCCGCGGTCCCCTCGGGCTCCGGGCGCGCCCCGGTGGCGCCCACCCCGGGGCACGCCGACCCCTCCAGCTGCGACGGTCGCCGCCCGGAGCTCCAGGGGGCGCTGGGCGGGCGCGAGGGCGGGCGGACCCCCCGGCGGGGCGCGCGAAGGCGAGGTGCGCGGAGGGCTCTGGCGGAGCAGGTGGGCGCGCGGAGGGGAGCGCGGCAGCCCCGGGGACCCGAGCGAGCGAGAACGTGTGCGTGCGTGTGAGTGGGGAGGAAAAGCGAGCGCTCGCGGGCGCTCCGGGGAGAAGGTGGGAGAGGGGAGTGCGTGTCGCCTGAGTGCGGGAGCGCTGCCCCAAGCGAGAGTGCCAGAAGGGGCGTCCGGCCGGCCCAAGTCTCCGGCTGTCCGGGGGGGACTGGGGAGGACCCGAGCCAAGCTCCGAACCCTCCCTCCCGGCCGCTTCCCCTCCCAGAAACGGTGACAGCAGAGCCAATCCCGGATCTTTAACTCTTTCCTTCCTGCCCCCAAGTCGCGGGCTCTCCGGTGCCCACAGCCCGCGCGCTGCCCGCTTAGACCCTCTTCCCGCTTCTCGGCCGCCCAACGTCTGCCCCTTCAGGGAGGCGGCCCTCGCGGACCCGGCTCCCTCGCCGGGATGGGAAGGAGGCCTGAACGGAGAAGGGTTTGGGAGCCACCGGGGGCCTCTGGCGCCCACGTCGCGCCCTTCCTACCTGGTTCCGTCTGGGGAAGAGAGAAAGACTTGTTGGTTTGGGATCTCTCGGCGGGGAAAGGTGTGAGTGTGTGGATGTGTGTGCGTGGCGGTGGGGCGGGAAGGTCACGGGTTTCTGGAAAAGGCGTTCAAGGAGGTGAGCCCAGGGACCCGGTGATCCAGTCCGTCTAGGATGGCCCCACCCCACCCTCCCGCCCCGTGGAGCGGATCCGCGGAGAAAAAGGACCAGGTGGAAGGATGAAGTTAACTCTTTAGTTCCCAAATGGTTGTAGACAGGGGAGGGAGAGCATGCGGGGGCCTGGAGGTGGGCAGAGGTGTGAGTGACCTCAGGGCCGCTCCGGGAGTGTGACTGTGTGGATGTGTGTTTTGTGTTGAGAAGGATTGTTAAAATGAGGTTCGTGGAGGTGGTGGGAAATGGTGTTGAAAATGACCCGCAGAGGCGTCATTTGGGGAGAAGGTTTGGGGGCACTTGACTGCTGTGCCGCTGGGCGGGACCCCTGTGGAATCCGTCTGCCCTCTAACGGTCAACAGGCGTCATTGACGGTATTTTGCCGCCAACCTCTCCAACCCTGCGCCCAGGGAGGAGGACCCTAGATCCCCAAGCTTTCTTCGGTTTTGCAAACGGTTCCAGGGGACCTCGTACGCGTTAAGCACCAGCTAGATGCTGAGGGCAAAAGAGAGAAATATATATAGTCCGTACCTCTGAGGAGCTCTATTTGGGATAAATAGGCATAATGTAATATCGTTTAGCACCAAAAACAGAGAGATTGATACGTTGCTACGGAGTCCAGGTGAGCACTATTCTGCCTGTATCGGAGCCAGGAAAATCTCCAAAGAGAAGTAATTAAACAGGGGTAGAAGGATGAGAAAGGTATTCTGTGCAGAGAGAGCAGAATACTGAAGTCTGTTTCCTATAATGGAATTGTAGGAGATTTTTGAATATTCT